TGTGTGCATGTGTGTGTATGTGTGAGAGAGTGAGTGTGTGTGTGTGTGTGAGTGCGTGTGTGCGTGCGCGCGTGTGTGTGTGTGTGTGTGTGTGAGTGCGTGTGTGCGTGCGTGCGTGTGTGTGTGTGAATGTGTGTGAGTGTGTGTGCATTTGCCTGCCTGGGTCACGCTGAGACCTCTGAGGGCCGAGAGCTGTCCGTCTGTCATCTGTCCCCCCACCCCGTTTCCTGTTCTCCTGGTGGGCCGGGTGACAGCGAGGCCTCTGAGTGCCCCTCGCCTGCCCGGCTGCGCACAGCTGTGCGTGCAGTCTGTGGGACAGAGCACTGCTGAGGCGCTGCGTGTGCACCGTGTGAAGAGAGGGCCTGTGGTGTCCTTGGCGTGTGGGAGGCTCTTGGTGCGCTCTGTTAGCTTGACACGATGGTGCCGGAATCCCACCTCAGAGGGGCACCCCTCATCCTTGGGAGGTCGGTTGAGGGGGTGAGTGTCTTGGCCTCAGGTGACAGCTACCTCAGGCTCCCGGGAGGGAGGGGACACAAAGCTTGCCCTCGTCTTCCTGGTTCTCTCTGCTGTGTCACCTCTGTCCTCACCCGGACTTCTGAAGGCTGGCCGCACCCTCACTCACACGCACACACGCCTGCCTCCACCCAGGGCCTGTGGGCAGCTGAGCTGCTCTGAGCTCCTCACAAATGTACAGAGACCCTGGCCTTGAGAAGGAGGAGCAGGAAGCCCACCTGACCCTGCCCTGCGGGGAGTTAATGGGAAGGGAAAGGCTGTAAATGGAGCTCTGGTTTCTTTCTCGTGGTTTTGTAAAAGCTTCTGGAATGTCACATAGACATATCTGGACACCCAAAGGGGGTGTGGGTTGGTGATGTAACCTGATTTGCCCCTGCAGGGGCCATGGTGAGCTGTAAGCACCTGGGTTAGAGCTGAGGGGCTGGGGTGGGCTGGGAGCGGTGTGGGGACCAGGTGCTCCCCAGGAAGGCAGGCGGGTCAGGCAGCAGCGCAGGCCAGGGCACTGCCTCCAGTGTTGGCCGGCTCTGCCACTCGAGGGCCAGGAGGCAGCATGGTCAGCCTGCCCAGGCGCTGCAGCGGGCGTGCTGTGTGGAGTGGCAGGAGAAGCTGCGCTGGCTCTTTCCAACCCTGCTGCCCTTCCAGCAGCAGTGTGCGCCGAGCTGTGGCGGGTGTGCCCCGAGATAAAGGCCCCCATCCTCCAGCCGCTCTGGGGTGCACTGTGTCCCCTTTAGCGTCACTTCTCTGCACGTGGAATTGGCTCTCAACCTCTCTTTTGCCCCAGAGTCGCAGCCAGTGCCTGTGTGCTGGGCGCGTCCCGGCCTCCTGCGCAGATGCACACTGCAGCCCGCGCCTACACTGATGCAGCTCACGGGTGCCGCTAGTGTCTCTCAGGACTTTCTCTCTGTTTTTCTCACTTCTGTTTTATTCTGTTTTTTGCATGTGCAGTTTTGTAAAGCAAACTCGAGGTACTGTATCTCGCAACTCATCTGTCTCCAGCATAAACTCACCGTGAGTCGCTCTGCTACAATATTCCACCCATGGCTTCATGATAACTACATGCAAACACCTCCCCTCCACTCCTGACTCTGCTTTCCCACCTCAAGTCATCTGCTTCATGGGGCAGCTCCAGGCGAGCCTTCTGTGGCCTGGGCAGGATGGTGGGCACGCTCCTCAATGTGGCCAAGTCCTGCCCATGGGGTCAGACCTGTCTGAGCTCAGCCTCTCCTCTCCTCCTGGTCTCTGTCCTCTTGTCTGCATCTGTCTGTGTGTGGCCACTCTGGTGTCTCGAGTGTGTCTCCTTCCCCTGAGTGGACTGGGCGCTGGGGCTCACGTCTCCTTGTGGTTAGTGTGCGGTCAGGGCCCTGGAAGAAGGGATGGCAGAGGGCTCCCCAGGGGTCCTCACAGCCCCCTTACTAGGGAAGGAATGCGTCTGTGATTCTTAGGAAGTCCTTGGTCCAGCAAGAGCACAGCTCTTGTTCAGTTGGGATGGTTGTGGTGGACCAGCCGGAGCCCGAGGTAGAGCCAATGGAAACCCCAGAGTGACCCTTCTGGGGGTGACACCAGCCCAACTGGCTGACTGCTGCTTGGGCAGCTCCTCCTGGGGAAGTGTTCCCGGGTGGCTTGTCCCCAGGGCCTTCCTCTCAAGGGTGAGGCCAGGCCCTGCAGGTAAGGGGTCCCTGAAGTGGTCAGGTACAGTCGGGCCACCTGGATGGAGGTGGCCAGGTGCCTACTCTATGTTTTGGTGATGATGACGCTCCTGCTGTCTCCCCATGGCAGCCAGCATAGAGCTGGGCTCAGTCTTCCCAGGAGCTCTGGCTGCTTGCTGGCTCTTGTCTCACGGGGCAAGAAAGCTTGTAGGGACTGATCGTGTCACACCAGGGCTGTTTCACATTGTCAGCTGTTGTGGGCCTCTGGCTGTCTCAGCCTGGAGACCTCAGAGCAGGGCCACAGAGACCCTCAAGGCTTCTTTCTGAGTCCTGCAGCCGCCCACAGCACTTGGGTTGGGTGTGACTGAGCTGTCCCCTGGCACAGCTGGGTTGCACCTACAAGCTGAGCCAGGACATCATGGGAAGGGATCCTCCCTGTGGTTCCTTAAAGAGCCCTTTTAAATAAGGGCTTTGCCTGGATGAGTGTCACCAGCCACACTGCACTGTAGGTCAGTGGGGTGTTGTGCCAGCAGAGCAAGGACAGAGGTAGCGGACGGGGCAGGTGTGGGCCGACTCAGATACCAAGGAGGAACCTGGCGTGCAGATTCAGAGACGGAGGGGACATGTCCAGAGAGGAGCCAAGTGGTGGCGGCTGCGTTGTGGGCAGATGCAGAGAGTCTCTGGTGATGTTGGGGCCCAGAGTGGCAGACAGACCCAGCAGGAGCAGGCCAGGTGGCGCCATAGGGGGCCGATGTGGGGTGTGCCGATGGCCCGTGCACAGGCTGCTCGGTGTCTTGCTCCACCTGGGAAGTCACGGGGGAGCCTTTCAGTCCAGCAGATAACCTGGACTCTCTGCATGCTTTAGGTGGCTCCTGGGGAGAAGGGGCTGCAGCCGAGGGCAAGGCGAGGCAGGGCGTGTGTGTGCAGCTCATCTGCACCCGCACACAGCTCCTGAGCCCGCAGCTGCCACATGTTCCCATGGTCTTCACGGCCTGTCTTTCCTGACAGAACCGTGATGCTGGCCCCCAGACTGTGGCTTCATCTGAGTGGGCCACTCACTGCTGACCAAATGGCTCAGAACCAGGCCCATCTCGGGCTGCTGGACTGCTTGAGAGGACTGAGGCAGTGACTGGCCATCGGCCCTCACAGGGCTCCTGTGCCTGGTGGATACCCCTCATGGCTGTCTTCCATTTTATACCGTTCAGCACGGTGGAGAGTCGGGCCCCTTGTTTGGTCCTGGCTGGGAGTGGGCAGGTCCTCTGTGGGTCTGTTGCAGGGCATCCTTGGGAGTGGAGGCAGCACGGCTTCAACGCCTTAGGGGAGACAGGTCAGGGCCAGGGGTGGCAGCCAAGGCTGTGGGTCAGCAGGTGGCCCTCCACGTTGCCTGGCCTGCCCCCTGCCCCAGGTGCCAGGTGAGGCACCATGCTCCTCTGTGCTCACACTTGCAAGGCCTTGCATCTGGAAACGGCTCCCCACACTGGAACGTGGACTTCTCCAAGGAACAGCGTTTCTTGTTCGTCCACCTTGGACAGGCTGACTGCAGGGACTGGGCTTTTCCAACACCTGTCTTTGCAGCTCAGGGTGATGCTTTGAGTGGCCCAGGGTCCTGGAGCTGGGAGCAGGCTGGCCTGAGCCTCTGCAGGCTGCGGCTGCACCCACACTGTTAGTGCAGTCGGGGTGTGGCCAAGGCCTTACACCTTGTTTACTGTTTTCCTTTTTGCCCTTGGCTGAGTCTGATCTGGCTCTATCAGTGACTCACTGTGGGGCCCCTAGCAAGTTACAGCCTCTCTCCAGGCTCAGCATCCTCATCTGTGAAACTGGGACAAGAGTAGCACCTGATTCTCGAGGTGGCTACAGGGCTGGATGAGGCGGCACTGAGCCCAGATGTGGTTTCCGCTTGGTGAAGGTGGGCCTGGGATTGCGTACTTTGGTGGTCTTATTCAGCAAAAAGCCCAGAAAGCAAAGGGCTTCCTGTGCACCCTGGGCTGTGGAGTCCAACATGAGAGGTGTGTATAGAGGAGGTGCCTGGGTCCTGAGGTCGGAGGGTGGATCAAGGACTTTGGTAGTCTGGACAGCGAGGACCAGGCCTGGACCACCAGCCAGCCCTGGTGCTGGGGGGCTCTGAGGGTTGTGGCCCTGGTGGGAGGTGGGGCTCTCCATGGAGCTGAGAGAGAAGGGCATTGGTGACCACGGTAGGGGTGTCCGCAGCCCCAGGCCTGCCTTCTGGGCTCCCGGTCATTCAGCCAAGTGGCAGCTGCCTGGCCAGGGCTGATGGCCTTGGGGAGGGGCTGAGGCTCTGTGTCTGCTCCTGAGAGGGCCGGATGCTCCCTCCGCTGCTGTCTGCTCCTGGCAGCACCTGCCTCTTCCTGGGTTCCCTTGTAAACAGCCCCTTTCCTCCCGGGAGGTGGCGACGGGTGGGTGCCTCTGGGGGAATGGCTGCCTGTCGTGCCCCTCCTGTGGCAGGCCGCTCTGCTCTGGTGCTGGAGCAGGGGCCAGCTCCCCAGGGAGGCTGCAGGGGCTCCCCGAGTCCTGCCTTTCCATCAGTCCTGCCTGGTTTGGACGATGCCCCGTCTTGCCCTTCCTGGCCAGCCGTCCCCCATCCTGGAAGCATCTGACCATTCTTGCTGGTGCCCACTATTCCCAATGCCCTGCACCCCTTGGCCTCGGGCTGCCGTCCACCTGCTCAAGAGTGGCCTCGAGCCCCCCCACGGGTCCTCCTGACAGGCTGGTGCTGTCCCAGTCTGCAGGGTCCTGAGGGACACCAGGGGTGGTGGTGCTGAATCCTGCTCCCCGGGTGTCCCCCCGACCGACCTTTTCTGCTTCCACTCTGCCATCCCGCCATTGCTGTGTGTCCATCTGTGGCTCCCCAGGCAGAGAGGTGGGCGGGCGGCGGGCGGCCACTCACTGCCAGTGTCCCCACAGCAGGCAGCAGAGCACGGCCAAGGCGCGCTCGGTGTGGGAGCAGCGGGCTGGCCAGCTGCGGCTGCAGACCCTGCGGGCCAGCTGCGAGGCGCTGTACGGCGAGATGGAGCCCGAGGAGCTGCTGCTTTTCTCCACCGCGCGCCACCTGCGGCCCGACGTGAAGACGCACCTGGACCGGCCGCTGGTGGTGGAGCCGGC